ACACATGTGATCGATCGTTGCGTCCGAGGCTCATTGGGCCTTCCATTCCTCCGGTCTCGGCAAATTGGTGCCAGACTTGGCTGGAAGACTAGGAGCACTGGCTTCACACATCGTTAGGACACCGCGAGTCATTGCAAAGACTAGATATGCATTTAATCACCTCCAAACGATGCTTAATGAAGTCGAATGCATGGCGCATCCTTCAGAGATTGATCAAAGCCGGGAGCCTTATCCTTTTTTATATGCATGTATATCACGTATATATTCCACCTATGTCTATAAGGTTCCCCAGAACAGTCGTTCAGTATTTGGCACTTGTGCGAATGCCTCTGAAATCCATTCTCTTATGGCAACCTAAAACTCGCCGTCCTCGCTGAAATAACTACTCATGAGCTCTATTAATGTGGAAGGAAAACACATCCCACTTCTTGTTGAAGCAAATAAACATATCATGTGATTATAGCCACTTTAGTTACTGTGCTTGTATATTTTGGCGTCCTAAGTAATCATTGCGCGAAGACCTCGTCATAGTTTTTGCGCTCGAATATCGAAAACGAAACGGCGCGCAATTTGAAAATATGAGCTTCTTGATCACGTTATTTGGATGATAAACTCGTGTCGTGGTTTCCATTTTCGTTTTCGTTTATCTCATGGTTGTTCCTTTTATGCTACTATTTTATCTTTTGCTGATTTGAAGAGCATTTAGTAGAATTTGTTTCAGACTAAAAAGATAGTTTTGGTTGTGTTCGAAATGAGTTGGCGGTGGTAAGATTTGTCAAACATTGTGTTTCTCCGTTTCATCAGTCAATGATTCGAAGGAAGAGGTTGAAACAGAACTCGATACAATGAGTGAACATGAGAATTTTCATTTGCAGTGAAGTGCGCAACCACTATGAAGTCTGGCGTACAATATTCACCAACAACTCCTGGAAGCAAAAAACCGGTGAGTGGTTCTTTGGTAAGCGCAACGACTTCTTCAAGCCCTTCTGAATGTTGATAAACGTGTCTTAGTTTTCAGTTGGAATAAAACCGTAAGAAATCTACAGCTCTTTTAGAAAAAACCCAAAATTTGCTTCACCAGCGTTAAATCGGCTACACTCTGTGACCTGGGCCATCCTTGCGCCACTGGCCCACAAAGCTCTCCATCCCTCCAGGGTCCGCAGATTGCTACCAGACTTCTCTGGGAGGATAGCAGCACTGGCTCGATACATCCCGCGAGCCATTGTAGAGGACAGATATGCATTCAATCGCCTCCAACGATAATTAATGAAGTTGTATGCATGGCTTATCCCTGAGGGATTGGTCAACGCCGAAAGCTTTACTCCATATCCTTTATACTCTGTGACCAACAAAAGGTTTTTTCCATCGATGTTCATATTTCGTACAGTGAAGCAGTGCAACGATTTTGCTGGACGTCGTCTACAAAGAGGGCGTGCTTGTATTAAAACCAAGCACAAAGGAAGTCTTTCCTGATCTTGATTCCTTAAACTGTCAGATGTTCTTCTGAAGATGAAATGCGAACATTTATGGATTTCAAGCAGTACCTTTATGTCGTTAGCGAATGTACAGCTTAATGGAAGTAAGAATTGAAGAAGGACACCATTCTCTTCGATTTTTTCGTCAGAAATTGTTAAGTTATACGCATGAATGACCTTCGATGTATCGGTGGACTGATAATTTAACGAGTGCTGTTCTCGACGGCTAAGGAGAGTATGAAGTTTAAGTGACGGAATTCATTCTGTTTTTTGTGTTAGTTAAATTCAAATCAAAAGTTACTTGGATACTGCTTTCTATGTTGGTGATCTGTTCTTTGTATCGCATGTTTTCTACAACCTGTTAACATTCTGCTGATATTCTGTGGTCATTTTCTTTTACCAGGAGATGTCTTCTATGTCTAAAAAACAGGACAAAATCAATGTTCGTGTGGCAGTAAGGGTTAGGTAAGCGAAGCGATTACCACAAGAGTTGACTGGTTCAGTTCAAGCCAAAACTGATTCAGACCGATGAGCGATGCTGAACGTGCCGACAATGCGACGTCCATCGTGAAAGTCGAAGAGAAGAAAATGACGGTCACTTGTAAATCGAAGGTCTTCTCTGCGTTCGACAAGGTCGTGCTATTGGTTTCCTTCACTTTAATTCACTTTCTTTTTTTTCTTTATTGATCTGACTTCTACACAGGTTTTTGAATGGTTTTTGTTTCCCTATCGCTGATGTAAGTAGAAATATTCGTTTTGCATATCTTTTCCTCTTCTATCCATCAGTTCTGCCTGGATCTCCGATAATAATGCAGATTTCCATTAGGGTCTCTGCTATCTCTGTCTAGGTGGTTTTTAAATATTTCAAAGTTTGTCCAGGTTTACGGAACTTCTGCTAATCAGGAGCGCATTTACAAGGAAATGGTTTCCCCACAAGTGGAGAGAGTCCTTGCTGGATACAACTGCACGTTGTTCGCGTATGTTTCCGTTTTTTCACTGCGTCGTATGTTGATGGGGTATGAGGTAGCGCAGCGAATCCACGTCTCGACCGACATTCCACGACGTTTATAAGATAGCCAAAATCCTCAAGCAGGAGCTGAAACAACAGGCGAAATGTTCGAAGACCACTGTAGACGCTGAATGTGGGGAAAACGAATCTGATGCAAGACGTGCTAGGGTCCACACAGTAATTGCGATAACGGGTCATGTAAAGCGTAAAAAAGGCATGTTTTTGAAATCCCAATGCTAACTTTTTATTTGCTGCGTATTACAGTTTTTCAAGGCAGAGTACTTTGTGAGATGCAAGCATAATGATAGTAATTCAAGTGTAGCTTCGGCTTAACTGGGTTCAATGCCGATTTGGGCACCCCAGGTCAATCCCGTTGATGGATGATCGCTGGTGGCACTGGTCGATAGACAACTAGCTGAGAGACAGGCGAAACGGCGAAAGGAAGGACTCGCATGGTGTGGTGATGAACGCATTAGCCCGCGGAACAGGGAATAGCGCGTTCGCTCCCCACCGCAGACACCAGCGGTCCGGAGTTTTGTAAATATCTCAGCATCATCATGTTGCTTAATTTTTAACTTTAAGTTATGGACAAACTGGGACGGGGAAGACATACACGATGGAAGGTGGCTGTGCTAGCGATGCTTCTTATAAAAATGACCCTACAACTGGAATCATCCCTCGTGCTGTTGAGCATATTTTTGAAGAGCTAGAAAAGTCGGTCGGTTCGATGACTTTTGTAATTTAATACACTTGATTTTTCTGTACGGAAAATCACCACTTCATCCAACAGTTTAACTTTTTTAGAATACCGAAGAGTACAGCATACGAGTTAGTTATCTTGAGCTGTACAATGAGGAATTGTATGACTTACTAGCTCCTACATCAGATGACCGAGAGCGTCTGAGAATATTTGACGACCCATCGAAAAAGGTATTTGATTAGTTTTTTGTACCCAGTGGTATGCGCATTGTGCGTGGTGAACGACCGCAGGAAGAGAGAACAAACGTAAATGTAATGGGAAAAGCTAAGAAAATAGATGTACTAACGCCTGTCTGCATGAAATTAGCGCGACTATCAGAGTCCGTGCACAGTTCTATGCTTGCTGATCAAATTCAGATCCGGTGAATTGCGACTATACCCAGATGCTTGGAACCAACTGCACTTCCAAACGAGCTGAACATTGTTAACATTATTGTTTGAAGTGAAAACCAATACAGTCTACAGCAGTCTTTAGTGCGCGTGTAGCACAGTGGTTAGAAGTTCCATGCAATGCGCATGGGTTCGATCGTATTCCCAGGGGCTTACGAAGCCTTCCATCTCTCCGGGGTCAGACAGTTGACACCAAACCTGTCTGAGAGAATGGGTGAGTAGCAGCCCTGACTCGATACATCGGTAGGCCACTGCGGGTCATTGTATAGGCCAGATGTGCATTCAGTCATCTCTGACGATGCTCGTTGAAGTTGAATGCATGGCGCATCCTTCAAGGATTGATCAATATCGAGGGTTCTATTCTTTATACTTACACTCTACAAGTTTCTTTCACGATAAGGTACGAATACCATTAAGAAATTGGGGCTTAGTGGCTTATGAACACATTTTTCGTTCCTTTTTGGATGAGACTCGTATTTCCAATAGTAAAGTCATCGGACCATTTTCGCAAGGAATTTGTAACCAAGTTTTTCGTTGATCTTTATGGTTGTCACGCTTGCGTTAAAAGTTTTCAAAGTTAGAAAATTTGTATTTCATTTTCTTGAATGTTTGTATTTTAAAAGATATCTACTTGGAAAGTGTTGTTCAGGGTATGGTAGTGGTATCTGGTGCGGAGGAGCTGCCAGTGAGGAATCGTTTTGAAGTGTACAATCTTTTAAAAAGAGGAGCTGACAGACGAGTAACTGCTGCCACTCTCATGAATATGAATTCTAGGTAAGTGGAGAATTTTGTCATGGCTATTCTGTTATTGCTTTTTTTGAAGCTGTGTTGTCGTAACTTCACTTCTTTCAGTCGTTCTCATTCAATCTTCACAGTTAGCGTTGTTCTTAGAGAGAACACTCAGAATGGGGAGGAACTGGTGAAGCAGGTTTGCTTTTCTACGGCAGTGTGGCTTTTGCCTTATTGTTTCGTCCACAGGAACGTCATGTGTCTTAGGGTAAACTTAATTTGGTTGATCTCGCTGGGTCAGAACACATAGGTCGATCTGGAGCTGAAGGCAAACGGGCTAAGGAGGCAGGTGAGGTATTTCGCCTATATTGTTACGCTAAGATTGTGGAGTTCATGAATTCAGGAAATATCAACCAGTCACTGCTCACCTTGGGTCGCGTTATCACTGCCCTGACAACATCTGCTCCTCATGTGCCCTATAGGTATAAATATTATTGCACATTTTTGTCGTTGGGTTTTTGCTTTCGTTGTAATGCAAGTTTAGTACTGAGTTTTGTTGGCAACCATTCATTTTTTTTAGAGAATCTAAACTCACACGTCTCCTACAGGATAGTCTTGGTGGTAGCACTATTACGTCCATCATAGCTACGTTATCACCAGCATCTACTAATTACGAGGTCTTCATTCATTAAAAGTTTGCCATATGGTTTTTTTATCGACGTACTTTTAGGAGAGTGTATCAACCTTAGAGTATGCTGCAAGAGCAAAGTCCATACGCAATCATCCAGAATGTAATCAGACCTTAACCAGGAAAGCGCTACTTAAGGTTGGTTGGCTTGGAATAAATTTGCACAATCAGCTAATTTTTGATCTCATTAAGGAATATAATGAAGAAATCGAAAAGCTCCGAAGAGATCTTCGCTCTGCTCGCGAAAAGAACGGCATTTTCCTTAGCCAAGAGAGCTACACGTAAGTATTGCTTTATATTTCAGTACGTACTGTTGATGCTTATATACTCATAAACCGCCTATGCAAACCTCTTGCTTAATTAATAGTGGCATGGAAAATGAGATCGCGACGAAAACGGAACAACTTCGAGAATTAGAAGGACAACTGGATGCTGCTATCAAAAAACTTCAAAAGGTATGTTGAAATATTTCTACTGCTATTGTGGAAGCGTAAAGCACATGCAGTTCCTGTTTTTCGGGCCCTCTAACCGATTTTGCGTGTTTTTATATTAAATCTAGTTATGGCTACACCTAGCAAAAAGTTGAGAACAAAATTATTTATAAACGCGTTGTTTTCTTGTTCATCAATCTCGAGGTTGTTATACAACATGCATTTAATAACTCGAAAGACCGACTTTCTATAAACCTCGGCATAGATAGTTGATATATTTATTTATGTGATCTTATAAACTGA